GACCATGGTAAACATTTCGGCAATTTTTACTTCCGGAAGAAAAAAAAGTCAAAAAATTCCAAAATTGAAGGCTATATCCACGCTTTTTGAGAAATTTTGGAGGTTTCGAGGCCCGGTGTCGAAAAGTTTTGAAATTCTGGGGATAGATCTCGGGGTCATATAATGTCGTTTTGAATCATATATGATCATTATTTGTTGTTATAAAAACGTTCGTGGTAGGCTTGAGTTATTGAAATCGGTGTAAGTTTTAAACCGATAAATTTGTTGTTAAAGGCAAATTGGATAGTTACACCCACCCAGTTGGACGCCCAGAGGGTATTTGGGACCATGGTACACATATCGGAAATAGTTATTTCTAGGCGAAAATAAGTCAAAAAAATTCAAAATGAAGTCTAATATCCACGTTTTTTGAGAAATTTTGGAGGTTTTGGGGCCCTTTGCTGAAAAGCCTTATTATTTTAGGGAATACATCTCAGGGTCATATAATGCTGTTTGGAACCATATATTATCATTATTTGTTGTCATAAATTTTCGTGGTAAGCTTGTGTTAATGAAATCGGTGCAAGTTGTAAACCGGTAAATTGGACGTTTAAAAGCAAATTGGATGGTTCCACCCACCTAATTAGACTCCTGGAGGTTATTAGGGACCATGGTAAAAAAAATTGGCAATTTTTATTTTCAGGCGGAAAAAGTTAAAAAATTTCAAAATTGAAGTCTAATATCCACGTTTTTTGAGAAAATTTTGAGGTTTCGGAGCCTGGTGTTAAAAAGTCTTGAAATTTTAGGGAATACATTTTGGGGTCATATAATGTCGTTTGGAAACATATATGATCAATATATGTTTCATAAATGTTTGTGGTAGGTTTGAGTTAATAAAATCGGTGCAAGTTGTAAACCGGTAAATTGGCCGTTTAAAGGCAAATCGTATGGTTCTACCCACCTAATTGGACTCCCGGAGGATATTTAGGAACATGATAAACAATTCGGCAATTTTTATTTTCGTGCGAAAAAATTCAAAAAATTCAAAAATTGTAGGCTAATATCCACGTTTTTTGAGAAATTTTGGAGGTTTCGAGGCCCGGTGTCGAAAAGCCTTTAGATTATAGGGGATACATCTTGGGGTCATATAATGTCGTTTGGAACCATATATGATCATTATATGTTGTCATAAATGTTTGTGGTAGACTTGAGTTAATAAAAATCAGCAAAAGATGTAAACCGGTAAATTGGTCGTTTAAAGGCAAAATTGATGGTTCCACCCACCCAATTGGACTCCCGGAGGATATTAGAGACCATGTTAAAAATTTCGGCAATTTTTATATCCGGACGAAAAAAAGTCAAAATATTCTAAAATTGAATGCTAATATGAGTAATATCCATGCTTTTTAGGAAATTTTGAATGTTTCGAGGCCCGGTGTCAAAAAGCATTGAGATTTTAGGGGATATATCTTGGGGTCATATAATGCCGTTTGAAACCATATATGATCATTATATGTTGTCATAAATGTTCGTGGTAGGCGTGAGTTAATGAAATCGGTGCAAGTTGTAAACCGGTAAATTGGTCGTTTAAAGGCAAATTGGATGGTTTCACCAAGCTAATTGGACTCCTGAAGGGTATTAGGGACCACGGTAAACATTTCAGAAAAAAAAATTCCCGGGTGAAAAAAAATGTCAAAAAATTACAAAATTAAAGGCTAATTATCCACGTTTTTTTTAGAAATTTTGGAGGTTTCGGGTAGAGCTGTCAATTCGGGTAAACGGGTTGGGTTTGGGTCGGTAAAAGTGGGTCGGGTCAATTCGGATTAATTCCATAACCTATGCGGGTTCAGGTTTGTGTTAGTTCATGCTTGAGTCGGGTCACGTCGGGTCACGTCGGGTCATACTTCTTATCGAGTTTGGGTCGGGTTAATAACATGTGGGGTTATATTCGAGTCAGGTGAACAATAGGTCGGGTTTAATTCGGGTTTTCACGGGTTAAAAAGGGTTAGGGTAATTCTTCTCGAGTACGAGACGGATTCGATTCAAGTCAATAATTTGCGGGTTATAATCAAGTCGGTCATTCTCGGGTTTGAGTCGGGTTTGATTCAAGTCAATAATTTGCGGGTTATAATCAGGTCGGGTCATTTTCAAGTCGGGTCATTCTCGGGTTTAAGTCGGGTTCGGTTCAAGTCAATAATTTGCGAGTTGTAATCAGGTTGGGTCATTTCCAAGTCGGGTCATTCTCGAATTCAAGTCGAGTTATGTTCAAGTCAATAATTTGCAGGTTACAATCAGGTCGTGTTATTTCCAAGTCAGGTTATATTCGGGTTCAACTAACTATAAATAGATAATTATCAATTTTATCAAGCTAATTATTTCCTTTGACTATAATATAAATGGCAATATACTAGGGAACTATAGTTTATAATTTAGAAAGATAATTATCTCCTTTGACCATACAACAAATATATATTATATTTAACTCTTAAATTTGAGGATGATGCTCCTTTCTTTTGCTGGCCTGGACCGACTTGGTCTCCCTAGACAAAATGCTTTGATCAACACTAATAAGGCAGTATAAATTGCATTTAAGGTGATTTGAAATCGGGTCAAGAACAATTTGGGTTGAATTTAGGTCGGGTCAATAACAAGTCGTGTTGATTTCGAGTCGGGTTAGTAATAGATCGGGTTGAATTTTTGGGTCGGGATAGTAATAGGTCTGGTAAAATTCGGGTTGAGTCAATAACAAGTTGGGTTGAATTTGGGTCAGGTCAATAACAAGTCGGGTTGATTTCGAATCGGGTTTGTAACATGTTGGGTTAAATTCGGGTTGGGTTAGGAACGGTTCGGATTGAACTCAGGTCAGGTGATAGGCATGTTGCGTACCTAACAAAAATAAACCTAACTAGACCACTACTATGTAGACGGGCAAGCAAGGGTCGGATCCTAAGAGACTATGGTTCAACTAATTAAATAGACTCAAGCAATTACTAAGCAAGTAACTAAATCAAATGAATGAGAATCAATAACTAAAGAACTAATTAAAACGATTAAATCGAAACAATATGACAAATCAATGCTAAAAACATCCAAGATCAAGCATCACCACGAATACAATTAATGCAATAGTCGTTCTATCCCTAACACATAATTTAATTTATTAAAGAGGAAAAGTAATCCATGAATAATACCAATGGTCTCTCCCGAGTTATCAATGACTTCTCTAATCACAATCAAGCCTACTTCCGTGGAATCATGTAAATTAAAGACCTTAAGCACATTACTCTAACTTCCTAATCATCCATTCAACTACTCCCGTGATGAACTTTAAACCCTTAATTGATTTATTCAAATCCGTCAAAACCCAACTCCCGTTGCGATTAAAACAAAGGATTAATAACAATACCAATTATCCCTAATCTAGTATTGGCATAAGCATAATCAATTAAGCATATCAATTACAATTATTATTAGAGAATTTAAAGAATTAAATCATGCATTAATCATATTCGGGTTCCGCTAGATCTTGGAATAAAGAAACTACTCACACATATTAATGAAAGCAAAAACAATAATCAATGAAGAAAACATGATTAATAAGTAATTAAAAGTAAAAGAAGAAATAAAGATGAATACCAATTGCTTGAATGAAGAAAAGTACCAATTGTTGATGAATAAAGATTAAAACTTGAAAGTGAGATGTAATCTAGATCTAGAGAGAATATTAGGGTTCTAATGAAAGTTTAAAAGCTAGAAAATAATAACTAAGTATGCTAAGTCGGGGTTTACAAAGGGTATTTATATCCTTAATTAAGAAAACCCGAAAATAGTGAAAATACGCTTCGCGAAACTCCGCCCGGTGAGACCGGGCAAGGCTGCCCGATCGGGCGCGAGAAACAAAGCCGGCTTGCGCTTCTTCATCTAGCTTCCTCATGTAATACCTCGTCTGCCCGGGCTGCCCGGTCCGGGCGGACGGAAGTTGAGTTCTTCATATTCTCCGCATTTCTCTTCCTTCCTTTGCCCTGGCTGCCAGGGCAATGTTGCCCTCCAGGGCGGACATGGGTATCATCACTCTTCCATCTTAACAAACTCTCGTGACCATCCAAATTAGTCTCGTTCATCCTGAAATACATCAAAAACAACGAAACTACCCATAAAAGCACAACATGATCACAACCAAATCAAAACAAGCTAAAATAAGCTATGAACAATTAATCTAAGCTTGAAAACTACCTAAATGAACTCTAAAAACACGCTCAATATACGACTTATCATCAGGTTAGTAACAAGTCGGGTTAAATTCGTGTTTTGACGGGTTAAAACGGGTTTGGGTCGATTTCGGTTCAAGTCAGGTTTGGTTCAGGTCAATAATTTACGAGTTACATTGGGTCGGGTCATCTCCAGGTCACTTCATGTTCGGCTTCGGGTCTCACATACTCGGGTCAAGTCGGGTCTAGGGCTGATTTCAGGTCGGGTTTGGGTCACCATTTTTTCGGGTTCAAATGAGTTCGTTAATAATCGGGTTTGAGTCAGTATTTCGGGTCGGGTCAAATTTTGACAGCTCTAGTGTCAACCAAAAACTCATTGTCTATATCCATTGAAAAGGAATTAGTGGTATGTTCTAAGAGTAGAAGCTGATTATGGGGTAATTTCAACTTTTAACATACTCCCCTCCTATTTGCACTTGTGCTCGGCCCGTACGTAAAAATTATCAAATACCCAAGTAAATAAATTGTAGTTTTAAATAAAATTTGGCAAATGACAAGAATGAATTGTGTATACATGCAAAGTATTTAATCAACTTGATAAACACCAAAGGTTGGAGCAAACATGAAATATAAACCAGTACTTCAATCGATCCGCATGTTGGAAATTTCGATCTGAAGGGCCAGCATGGCTGCATGGCAGCATATGCTTAAGCGAGTAAACAGTGGTTAGTTCTTTTTTTTTTTTTTTTTTTTTTTTTTTTTTTTTTTTTTTTTGACAAAGACCAGTGGTTAGTTATGAATGAAACAAATAGGTCAAATATCAACTCTGACCAAAGTTCATAAACACCGTCTCATAAAACAATAATATTGTACAATTAGGGCAATATCTGACTTATTAGGCCGCCAACATGAAATTTTCATGTACACCTGACTTATTAGCAGTATATACTTGTCCATTTACAGGTCTTGGCTTGAAAAAATAGTAGGCTGCCAATTAGATTCGCAACATAGCAAGAACTAAGCACAAGTACAAGACATGCACTTCACCTAAGTACGAAAGTCAAATGACCAAAGAAATGTAAGACCTAAGAAATTCAGGTAACCAAGATTGAGGTAGGATTGGCGTGAAAGTAGCGGTGTTGCACACCTGTTTCCCTACTGTATTTCCTTACTGAGACTGCAAAAGTTCTTTGATATCATAGCCTTGGAGCTGCAAAGAATTAAATATAAAAAAATATATATATATTATGACATGGGAATGGAAAATATTAAAGATCCAAGACAAAGAGGTGTTCCCATAATATCATTGCCCCAGTGATTTACATATTTGACCAATGACTTGCAAGTTTAACAAATGTTGTTCCATTCAACAGAAAATGCAGAAGATTCTTCACAGATACTACTTCAAAGAATACTACATTTTTACTATGAATGACTACAGATCCACGCTCTACTGTACAGGACATAAATTTAGTGATTCTGTGAAGTGATAAAAAATGACAAAGCACAACTTTTTTTACTAGAGATAAACTACCTATGACAGTCTCTGAGGATATACTAAAATCAATAGCACCACAATGGATAATTTATTATAAACATGAGCCCTTTTTTTTCAGTCGAAACCATCAACCAACCATAAAGCAAGAAAAGGCATGCAAAATGTACCTGAAGAAATGTAAGGAGCAAGATAACACCAGAATTCCAGAGCGAATGAATGGTGATGGGAGTCAGCAAATTGCGAGTTTGAGCATATGATAATCCCAAAGCAGTACCTGCAAAAATATGCAAACTTGAGATATATATTTCTCACTTGAGTAAAATTCAGCATCTCGATATAATTGAAGTTCTAGATGAATAGAGCAAAAAGGAGGCCATTACAAAAACTTGTTTATGCAATTAGTCGTGACTGATTTTTCCCCCATAGTCTCTAATCTACCCCAAGATTTGGCTATTCAGCATTTATTTTTCTTTTTATCAAAAAGCAACATCAATAAACATAAAGGACATCCTATTTGACTACCTAGAACACTATATATGTGAATATATATGAACTGAGAACATCCGTGGCACACCAATTTAAAGCAACGCAGGAACTGAAAAATTATTGCTACAAAATTCAGAAAAACTGAAGGACTGCAATCTTTAATTTAATACACAGGAACCTTTTCTCCACAATACTAGGTACAGGTACAAATTGTAAAGGATTATGATGACTTACCATTATTAGTTACTGTTTATAGTTTGTGTAATCCCTTACCATTATTAGTTACTGTTTATAGTTTGTGTAATCCCTTACCATTATTAGTTACTGTTTATAGTTTGTGTAATCCCTTAATTTACTCATTTAGGTTGATAGTCAAATTATATCCCCAACTCTTAGCTATTGTACCTAGTCAAATGTAAGTAGTCGTATTTTATTGCGTACTCATGTACTATAGACACTCATAGAGTCACATCAATATATTAAGCTTTCTCTCATTCTCTCTCAGCTTTCCAACATATGGCATCATTTGAATCAATTACTTTAGAGCATAAACCACATTCAAAAACCATGGATCTCACAACATATGACTATAGTTTGTTCAATGACACGAGTAACCATAGAAAAAAATTGAGATAAGATGGGACATACCAAGCACAAACAATTGGGGAAATTCACCAGGAGTCAAATGAGCAAGTGCAAATACAGCAGCACTAATTACCACAGCTACCGGGGTTGGGATCCTGTAGCCAGTTAAAAATTATAAAAAAGAAGATTATTTGACAGCTTCCTATATAAACAAGATAGAAATAAAAGCAAAAACCATCCTCGTTTGTTTTATTCTTGTAACGGGGCAAGGAGCCATTACATACTCACTTTATCAATTTAAGCGTAAATATCAAATATGCAGCATAAGTGCTAAAACAAATTATTCCAGCCACACATATCCAAAAAAAGAATAGAATTATTGAGTACTAAAGAAGCTGGAAGTCTAGAGAAATTAGTCCAGCATACCATTTTGTCATGGCTACCATAAAAAATCCTCTAAATACAGTTTCTTCAAGCAGTGGAGCAAGAAAGCCAGTGACTCCCAACAAGCAGACTGTGCTGAAAACAATTGGGGAAAAAATAATAAATTAATGAAAAGGCAATAAATCAGATGTTCAAAAGTCAAGGATCTAAAACACAGATTTTGTGCCAATTAGACCATCCAGAAGTACAGCACTCCTGAATCATCATCACATAGTACAAGAGAAATATGATTAAGGTGCATTTTCTGAAAGTTACCTAACTTCTGACGATCCAATCAATGGCAACAAGCGAACCAGAGCATCAGTCTGAAAAAGGAACGTAAATTGGTAAGCATTCCTATAAAGATCAGAGTTATAACAACTATAAAAATCACGAAAAATATAATGAAGTCTCAAAATAATAAAGAAAAGCATCCAGCTTCCGGTAGGGTTATAACAGAAGGAACTATTGTGCAACATGAAAGCATGCGCCCCTTGCTTACCTAATCATTATATAAGGTCATACAAAAATCTATAATTAAGCAATCATGAATGCAACAAAAAAAAATGCTGAGTATAACATACAAGAAAGATTAAATAATAAGAACAAAGGTAAAAAAAAAAATTATATACATAAGCATTTCAGTTAGTTTGCAAATACAAATACTACTTCTATCCCAATGTGTCTAAGTTAACATTTTGATCAGCCTTACGAATCTTTGAAATAATGATTAAATTAGCATCTTAAAGACCATGAGAAGTTCAATGAAACAAATATAGTTTGATGAATGGAGAACAAATAAAGTAGCACTTCACTTCGCACTTCAGGTGAGACAAAAAATTTAGAATTTACAGCAATATACAACATAGCATATAATTCTAACCTCTCTTTGTGGGTTCTCACCACTAAAGAAGGACAGAGCTACTCCTGTCAATGCAATGGCTCCAAGAGCCCCAGCAAACCCAATCCCAGCCCATAACAGCCATCCTTTTTGTAGATTGAACGGTTCTCTCAAATCTGACAGCATTCATTCACACAAAACTCTGAGTCTGACAGATACCAGAATATTATGATCTCATTCCAAATTAAAGCATCATTTCAAAAATCAGTGAAACAGAGTCTTAATCTAGAACATATATTCGAAGAAAACAGAATCCAGAAAAAGAAATTCTTATTTAAATATTTTAATCAATAAAGCTTTCATAAAAAAAAAAAAAAAAAAAAAAAAACAAAAATCAATAAAGAAGTTTTTGTAGATCCAAGGAATAATCTTAGTGGTTAGATTCACTAGAGCCGACTAGAATTTGTAGATGCCAAAGAAAGAAATTAAAAAGAATACCATATCGATAGAGGTCATCAGGAAGTGGCTGAAAGGACTTGGTAAGACTGAAAAGGACTCCTAAAACAGCTGCTGTAGTTATGCTGCACAATAAGAAATGTCCTATATGTTAAAACATTGGTGCAATTGAATTCTGAGATCACAAAGAGAAACCAAAACTAGAATTAACGGAAGTTCACCAAATGCTTTTTTCAACCACAGGGTTTTCAACTTCTTTTCTCACCTAACTTTAATGTCTCAAGTCTCGACCTCACAAGGATCTAACAACTTGAATTTGAAATGGTGTAGGTATGACATCAAATTCATAAACAAAGCCATGCATTTATTTGCTATCTACACTTTCCAAGACCTACATATTAGTACCTGTGCAAAACTATTAAATCCGATCCGCATCCAATCCGATATTTTGGATATCCGATCCGAGTTTTCATTTCGGATTGGATATCCGAACCAAAAAGGCAGATATCGAATGCGGATTCAGATATTAATTTCCAAACATTCAGATTGGATCCCAGAATTTATTTGATCTATTCATTGGCAACTTGATCTATTTTAAGATATTACTTAGCTTACTTTAAACTCTAATTCAAATGTTTTATTATTAAATATCCTTAATTGCGTTATTAGGCCATAACTTGAAATTGTAATGTAATGATGTGACTTTTCAGTAAGTAATGCACTATAGCAGCAACTGAAGACCTTCAGTTGAAGTTTATTGGTTCATAATTTCCTGCTAGATTTCTAGAATTGTAGCAATATGCTAAATGCTCAATAGAATAATGCTATACAGCTAATCATGGTTTTATGTTAAACAGAAAAGGTCAACATAATATCGGTAGCAGAATACATGATACAAAGTTACTAACAGTAATATATATTCAATGATATATTTTCAAATTCTTACCCTTGATCCAGAAACAGTAGTTCTGCCTTTTCATCTAACGTCAAATCCCCAAAGTTAAATCCAAGATATGGCAATGCTTGAGCCTCTATCAAACCTGTTACCACAAAACTGCCTAAAATCACATCAGTTACACATTCACGTAAGATATTGTAGTAAATGAATGGTGAAATTCCACTGGATGCACATGTGCTTTTTTTTTAAAAATTATTATTTGATAAGTAAAAATTTTTAGGAGAACTACACAGAATAAAGTACAAAAGGAGGATAATATGTCCTCAAGTAACTGAAAAATCCCCAACTACAATAGCCCAATATCTTTGGTTTTCCCAGCAAAATATATTGGGAGAGCCCCAACAGCCTTAGCCCACAAAGAAGCTAAACAATCTGACTTTACGCCACAAAATATCACATGTGACAGCCTTGTTATAGAAAATATATCGATTCCACCTTGGTCAGTCCACAAAATAGCCATGCATATATGCAGCGTGATTAACTGCCACTCTTACTAAAATAAAATTGACCCCAAATTCTCAATCAATGGGATTTTACATTTTACACATTTTACATAAATGATGTGGATATATGAAATTGACATTCGGAGATCTACTTTAAACAGATTTCTGATAGAAACATCATTTCAATCACAAACCAGCCTAGGCTTTATCAATTGTATTTCAACTCTATTCTTTCTATTTAAAAAGGTCAATAACAATACAGAAAATTCCATTTTTGCTCCAAAATTAAATACTATCGTTGTCCTTACACCGGAATAACTAATGACTATCAGTCTTTCTGTTCTCTTCTTCTTCTTGTCAACATTATCTGTCATTCTGTCCACAAGAGTATCAAGATTTTGGCCACATTTTGTAATAAAGAACCTTTCTAAGTGTATTTCACATAATCACAGTTTCTAATTTCCGCAGTAGTTGTTCCTTTACTCAATGTGCCCCCTCCAAGCAATTTGCATTAAGAATGGCAATGAAATGGCATAGATTCCAACACTCCATTACACCTCCTCAACAAAACACACACACACACACACCCAAAAAAAAAAAAAAAAAAAAAAAAACATTCAGCCAAAAGAGACTACCATGTAACTCCATAATATATTGATCTAAACACATGGACACATGGAAACAAACACCGGTCCAAATAGATACATCATCACCATTCACCTATCAACGTATGCGGTTGAGTCAAAGTAGCCTAGTGCCTTGATTCAATGATCTACTAAATAACTTCCTTTCCAAAACCACTAATACCTTTGTCATCTAATCATCTCTTTCTCATGACATCCTCCTATTCCTACTAAAAGTGCATTTCTCCTCCACCACACCCCACTCCCAAAAAATAAAACAGCACCCACATCACAGAATATTTCATAGATCAAAATTTTAAAGGGCGTGAAGAAATGGGGTAAAACAACCTTATTCCACAAGCAAGCGACGTAAGCGAAACCGTTTGCCATGGCCAAGGCACATCCCAACGCTTCAAAATTGGCCAGTCCAATCCACCTCCCTGCATAACAACAACAATTACTAAAATTTTACTACAATGCCAAACTATCTAACCACATACACACCTCAAATAAGATTTCAATCCCACAACCAATCAAATTCGACATCGTCCGAGGTTATATACTTACATGCACATTCAAGAACACTTAAATAATCAATCAATATATCCCACCAATTAAACAAACAACTCCCAAACCCAGAAACAGAAACAACCCCACCAAATTCCTCAAAATTTTATCATACATAATCCAAAAATTAAACAATTGAAACAATAATCAATGAGGGATAAACTCATAATCAATATTTAATTAGGGTATTGATACCTTTGGTTGAGGATTGCCGTTTTGGGAATTGTAAGAGCAAGAAACTGATAGCAAACGTGATGAAGAACCCAGCTTTGATCTTCCATTAACAGTGAATTTGGGAAGTAAGAAGCTCTGAGGAGGATATGGATAAAGGGTGTGAAAATGGCGGTTAATAGAAAAGGGGGTGCATAGTTTTGGTCGGATTATGGAAGAAGTTGAGTTTAGATTGGATGAGAAATTGCAGGAAAAAGCAGAAGTTAATGGGGTTGACGCCATTAATGGTGGAAAGTGGAGGAGAAATTGATATGGAAGAAGAGTGGATGGCTGATGAGTGATGAATCAACTGGTGATGACTCTGGATTTGAAGTGCAAAAGGAAGGAAGATAAGGAAAGAATATACCAACTAGGCAACTAGTACTTCCTACGAAGTACTCTAAAGAATCGTGAGAGTTGTAAATCAGCGGAGCCAAGTTGAGCAGAGCCGAGCCGAGCCGAGTTTTACCCTGTTTTGATTCAATCTCATTTAACTTAGGCATATCCGAATATGATTCCACACTTTCAAATGAGCTAAAAAATCTATTCAAAGCTCGATTCATTTAGAACATTATAGTGTTCGCAAATTGTGTATGGATGGATCGTTTGTTAAAGAGTGTTTTTAATGAACGAACTAATTTCTAAACGAGCTTCTATAATAAATGAGTTTTGTACTTTTGACATTTAAAAATCTTAAAACTCGCATGGTAATTAAATCTTAATTATAAAATTTAACATGAATTAATATTAGGTTGTGAATGAGTTAATAATTTATAAAATAATCAATTTATATCAAAGCTTTCACGTAAAAGCACTATATATGCGCCTTTGAGATATCATATTTTATCACATAAAACGCGTAGCTTATGAATATAAATAAACGAGTAGTTCATTAACATTAATAAATGAGTTGTTCATGAACTTATTTGAACGAGTATACCTATATTCGTGTCCAAGCTCATATATTAAATGAGTTTAAAAATTTGTTCAAGCTCGACTCATGTATTAAATAAACAAATATGAATGAGTTTCAATCAAGCTCAAAATCCGAGTAGTTTATTGATCGGCTTCAATTCATTGACACCCCTAGTTAGACGGTCTCTCTAAAAATGTTGTATACTCCAAGTGTGTGATAGATCTACCACCTTCTACGATAGTGCAATCAAGATCAATTTAATGATCATATGGCTATAATAAACTAAAGGAATCCTTTGTTTGATTTACTTGTATGTATTTGTTAAATTTAATTTAGACTTCAATTGTAAACTTCGGGCCTGTTTTGATTGGCTGAACTGAACTGAACTTATTGGAACTGAAATGAACTGAACTGAATTGAATATATTATAAGAAACAGAAATTAAGAACTGAAATGAATTGAACTTATTGGAGTTGAACTAAACTGAAAATAAGCTGAAGAGAACAAGCCCTTCATATACTAGTTTTTTTTAAAGATGATTTTAGATAAGATTATATGCATCCCAGTATTTAACAAATAAATCTCTCTCATATCATATAGGCTCTTTTTATTTATTTTCTTTATCTCTTTCTACTCCAAAATTGCTTAGGAGACCATAATATCAAAAGTGATGCATTTTAAAAATGGAGGAAGTAAAAAATAAATAAATAAACAACAACAACAACAACAACAATATAGTATTGATTTACCATCTTTCTTTTTTTTTTTTAAAAAAAAAAAAAAAGTTTTAACAAGGATTGATGTTGACTTTAGAAACCTCATATGATAGAAGGAAGACATTTAGTGGCCATTTTAGGATAACTTCAGTTAAACTTGTACTCTTATAATTAATTAGTATCTTAGTATTTGGACCTAAGTGATACCTCAGATCATTACATAGAATTAACAACTACATGTAGTGATGTTAATTTACATGACCAATTTTCTCTTAATTAATATTTTTGTAAAATTATCATTCCAATTCACTACATTTCGATCATTTGTTGCTATAGAAAACATAAAAATAAATGTGATGGCATACAAGTAGCTTAGTGGTAAGAAATCTGATGTTAAGCCATGAAGTTGCATACTTGAATCTTATACAGAATCTAAAGAGAAACAATAAATGAGAGATGAAGAACGCCATGTGACATGTAGACAATACAAAGGTTATTTTTTTTTTAATCTATTGCTTCATACCAGGAAATAAATGCATCATTGTCATATATATAATCTATCTAATCTAATCTTTTACAAATTTTGAAGCATGAATTGTGTGCATTTAGATCTATTTACTATGTGTATTAAATTAAAGTGAACTAAATTAATGGTGTTTCATGCATCCATGTTAAGTGAGCTTGGCCTATATTGAGAAAATAATTATCTATGAGAAAGAAATGTTTGTAGAAAACACTTTTTAAACACATGAACATTATATATATTATATATGAGCAAATTCAAGTCGATCTATCAATAGGAGAAACATGTAATGTTTATCAAAGGGTATATTGGTCTTTTTACTCATGAATAGTAAGGACAATTTTGCCATTTTATACTTTTGGTTAAACAGATTCAGCTAACGGCGTTAGCTTTGTCGTTAGTCATATTTTACAATTACTGAGCATAACTCATTTTCTTCACTAGCATCTGCATTTCATCTCCTTTCCTAAAAATAAAAACTTCAAACCCTCCTTGTTCTGCATCTTCATCTTCTTCTCCAAAACTAAAAGAAAATTCAAAACCTCATGAGCAGCTTCAATGGAAGATGAAAGAGGACGAAAAATTCTACCCTTAAGGGTTCACCATTCCCTTTATTTATCCCTTTTATCTTAGGTTTTTTTTAAAAATTCACGATGAAGCCGCCGTAAATATGGTGGTAGAAATTGGTTGTCCATTCTCACTGATCTTTGTGGGCAATTGAATTCACCACCGTCTTCTGACCTTCCTCCATTGTTGAAGGGGAAGCTGGGTCTTTTTCTCTCTCTCTATTCTGTTTAGAGTGAGAAGATATTAACGGTGCTCCATTTTGTGCCAGCTAGCCAGTGAGAGAAGAAATAATATAAAAACAAATTTTGCGAAAAACGAGGCAACTTATTTACTACTTTGCCATTTGATAAAGGTTTGAAGTTTATCAATTTGATAAACCTGAGCTCCCTCATTATATATTACCATCAACTCAATGTTACATATATAGTGACCTGGGTTAGTAGGTGATTTGTGACATGTTTTGATCTTGACAATCTTGTTATATATCACCCATCAACCTTGTACTAAAATGGTCACTAGTCGTCTTTCTCTTTAATTATCATGTGGTGTCATTATCCTCTTGCATCTACATACACTAAATGAGATTCCATATGCAATTAAGAAAACTCTTCCTCCTTAAACAACAAGAAAACCCTATTGAACCTAATGAGAGAAATCCTCACCATCTCCACATGCAATTCCCTAAGAAGAAGATAACAAATTTGGCTGAAGCATTTCCTAATTTATGACCCTCTCTACACATACACAAACAAACTCACAATAATCAAAACTTACATGAGAATTAAATAATCTTTAACCACTACTTATCACTTTGTAACATTCAATTCCATCATTACTTTCCTCCTTATATAGCCCTCAATAGGGCAAAATTCGTGCATAAATATATAGATTTTTCAATTGTTCAAATGGATTGAAAAAAGTATACATTAAAAAAAAAACTCTCGAAATTTTCAAGAATAAAGGTAAAATCTGGTGTGTTGTGGCAATCTGTAACCATCGACTTGAAAACGATTTATAATCACCAAACTCGAAAACGAAACTAGAAAACTAGAGGTGAAACCACCTCATTGACAAAACCAAGCATATTGATTTGGATGGCACATGAGATAAGATACTAAATTGAGTACATTCACTCATTCATCCACTAGTGGTATAAAATAGAATTGAAGTGACAGTAGTAATGAGTAATGTAATTACCAATTTAACATAGGAAGACAAGTTGAGTGTTAAGTTAACAGTGACAAATATCTCCCAAAAAACATCCTAAGAAAAACCAAACCCTTGTTTCACGCCGTTAACTCCGATGCCTTTCTCTCTCTTCTTTCTCTCTCCTCCATCACTCTGTAATTAACGCGTGGGACCCACATCCCATACAAATCAGATCTGCTTTCATCTTAAAAATTCAATCTTTGCTTTAAAACAAAAATAAAAAATCAATCTTTCATTCTTTAGTTGAAAGCCACTATAATTGTACTCCACTCCCTTCTCACTTCAGCTCTCCTACTCTTTCTACTTATAGTTGTAGTAGGCAGGAAACAAAGTTTGGGGATAATTTATTCAAGAAATAATTTATTAAAAAAAAAGAAATTTAGGGTTTTTATTTTTTGATTTGATATCTTTTTTTGATTGAATTTGATTGATTATATTGATTAAAATTCCCCCAATTTTTCTGGGTTTTCCACGATTTTTGATTTCATCGCAATTCTGTGTCGATCTCTGTTTTTTGAGTAGCAGCAGAGGAAGAAGAAGTCGCCAATTGGAATTGTTCTTTTGATTGAGTCCGCTGTTTCTCTCTCTTGATGCTTTTGGTAAGTTTTTTTTTTTTTTAATTTCAATTTATAATATTTATTGCATAGTTCTATTCAATTATTGTTTATTTTTGTCATAAAATGAGGTTTGTGAATTGGGTTGTTAATTTGCTACATTGTTAATTTCTTTTTAATGGGTTGTTTATTAATTGGATTTGCAAGATGGGGTTTTTTGATTTGTAGCTTAGATTTGGTTTGATTTGATCTCGATCTGGTGGGGTTCAGCTTTGATTTGTCTATATGTTCATTAAATGTTATTAATTTGGTTATAAATAGAAAATTAGAAGCATAATTGGCAATAATTGAGTTTACTGATTGTTTTTGTTGTTTTCTTCGTCTGATGAGAAAATCCAACTTGTTTTAGTATTCAATTTGTAATAGTTTTGGGGTTTTATTAATATGGATGATTTGTTTGTTTACCGTCAGCTAATTAGATTAACATATAGTGAATCGAAAATCGAAATCAACCCAGGATTAGTATTGGGTGATTGGATGATGTTGGTGGTTCTGATAATATTGGTTTTTCGATCACTTTTTTCAATATTTTAATTGATTGAAGTTGAAATTATTGGGAACAATTGCAGGCGGAAAATGGCAAACAAAACATCTGGTGACAGTAGGACGAGGAGTTCTATATCTATATTTATCGTAGTTGGTTTATGTGGTTTCTTTTATCTATTGGGAGCATGGCAGAGAAGTGGGTTTGGGAAGGGAGATAGCATTGCTATGGAGATTACTAAAAGTGGGGCGGATTGTGCGGTGCTATCAAACTTGAATTTCGAGACTCATCATGGTGGAGAAGTTAAGACTGGGGATTCTAGTATTGATACGAAAGTGTTTGAGCCATGCAAGGCTAAATACACCGATTACACTCCATGCCAAGATCAAAAGCGTGCGATGATGTTCCCAAGAGATAATATGGTTTATAGAGAAAGGCATTGTCCCCCCGAGGAAGAGAAATTGCATTGTCTCGTACCAGCACCAAAGGGATATGTAACTCCATTTCCATGGCCTAAGAGCCGTGATTATGTACCATTCGCGAATGCTCCTTACAAAGCTTTGACTGTGGAGAAGGCTATTCAAAATTGGATCCAATATGAAGGAAATGTCTTCAGGTTCCCAGGTGGTGGGACACAATTTCCTCAAGGAGCAGATAAATATATTGATCAGCTAGCTTCTGTAATTCCGATGAAGAATGGGACAGTGAGGACAGCTCTAGACACTGGATGTGGGGTATGTTCGGGTTTCTCTTCTTTCATTAGATCTCCTTTGTCCATATAGTTCATGTTTAATCTGTTAGGAAAACATAAATTTTCTTAAGTGTTAAGTCTTTCCATGCTGACTTTTGTGATGTGCTAGGTTGCAAGTTGGGGAGCATACCTTTGGAGCAGAAATGTTATTGCAATGTCATTTGCACCTAGAGATTCTCATGAGGCTCAAGTTCAGTTTGCACTTGAAAGGGGAGTACCTGCTGTTATAGGCGTTCTTGGAACAATAAAAATGCCGTATCCATCAAATGCTTTTGATATGGCCCATTGTTCTCGTTGCTTAATTCCATGGGGTGGAAATGGTGAGATTTTGGGGGCTGTGCTGTCATTTAGATTGATTAATAATCATTTGGTTTTGTAGCTTTGTGTTCCTTGAAATATAACTTGTGGTCTCCTTGTAATTGGAGCGGTTTTTGTAAATATATGTGCCATGCTTGAGGATCTCAACAGATTTTTTTTCAATTAATACTTCCCTGTACTTGCATTAGCTAATATGCCACATTTTTGTTCTTTCCTTTTGCAGCTGGAATGTATATGATGGAAGTTGATCGTGTTCTTAGACCAGGTGGCTACTGGGTGCTTTCAGGCCCTCCTATCAACTATAAGAATAACTACAAAGCATGGCAACGTCCGAAGGAGGATTTGCAGAAAGAACAAGATAATATTGAAAAGGTGGCTAAACTTCTTTGTTGGGAAAAGAGACACGAGAAGGGTGAAATAGCTGTCTGGCAAAAGAGTCTTGATGCCGATAAATGTCGCAGTAAACTAGAAGAGTCCCAGGCTACTGTCTGTAAATCCAATCCTGATGAAGTTTGGTACACTTCTGTCTTAAAATATTTTACTTGTTTACTGCCTTTTTCTCTATCCTACTTTTAATTTGTAGTTTTTAGGCCTTTCAGTTAATTATTGAATCTAATATCTGGTTTGGGTGCTGCTTGGTGCTTTCAAACTCGAGTTTTTTTAACTTATAGATTTATGTGCTATTGTGTTGCTCTAAGAGTGCTGTATGGAAGTGTCAAGGAGTTATTCAAACTCCGTATTTACATTGCTGTTATGAAAATATGAAATGTTGAACCCTTTTAGTGGCATGGTAATTGATGCGTGGCTTTTGGAGTTAAGGGTTCAAGGCCTGTCTAACCTGTGTTATTTTGAAGTATGAGCCTATTAGCACTACTAAGAAATGGCCCTCTCGTGCCAGATCAATTGTCACATCACACACTATGTAATATGGTATAGTATTGATACACAAAGAGAACTGGCTGATAAAAGATGTCAGGAAAGGGAACGCCTTATAAACGTGATTCTATATAGGAGTATAAATGTCATTTTTTTCCTCTTGCCAAATAAGATTTGAATTTGATGCTGATTATGTTTTTTGTTCTGATCTGCTTTGCTGCTCTATCAGTGAAGAGAACCTCTGGGGGTTAAAGAAACTGCTGCTGTTGGGAATTCCTTCCTATCCATCACAAAACTAGTACAAAGCCTTTTTCTAATCTCTTGTAGGAATTATCCTTCTTATCTTGACTAATTTCTTGATCAAAATAAAGAAAGTTCTATCTGCTATGTGCAGTCTATATTCAATCTCAACATAAGAGTATAAGACATAAGCATATGTCAGTGAGGTCCTTGATTTCTGATTCTCACCCAAGCGACACCAATTTTGGTGCATAGTGACTTGGAAAGTAGAAATAAATGTGAATGTCCTTGTGGACTTTCGAAGTCCAGGTTTATAGTTATATGAGTTGTCCTATCCTCTAGTCCAAAGTTTTGTTTATGGTGTTCTAATACTGGATTTGTCAAGGCCAACTGTATGAAAGCATTGAGCTTCTTTATGTTTGTTGATTGAATTCTAAATACTCCCTCCGTTTTTTTTTTTTTAAAATTCATCACTTTGACAATTGCACTATTCACGTACCATGGTTGACTTAATTTTTTCACCTCTAAAAAATAAATAAATGCTATTATATAATATATCATTAGATTAGTCATAAATCATAATGTCTAGTTTCATAATATAATTTTGTACTATTTTTACCTATAGACAATTAAAGATATTCATGATTAAAGTTGCGCCTCGGCAATGTGCAGGTCAAAATTGATGCATTTTTAAAAATAAAATAAAATAAAAATCAGAGGGAGTATAGAATAAGCTCTTATGTGGAAAATAAGTAGTGTGATAAAATCATGTGGACAGAATCTCTTTGGTGTCCTCTCTTTCCTATCTCATTAAATCCTTGATGAGAAAATATGTGAGTGATCTGTGTATATGTCTGATCCATCAAATTACATACTAATACTATACATGACTTTTTGAGAATTCATGAGTGTCAAAAATGGTAAATGTAAGTGATTAAATTCAACAATATGCTTATCTATGCATTCATTGAACCTCTTAGTGAAAATGGTGATCAAGTTGTAGATAAGTCATTGCACTACATACTAATACTATATGAAGGCATTGAGTATGCGTAAATGATAAATTTTGGCGATTAGAAATGTATGTGTAACTAAGCATTCATTAAACTTTCTAGTAGCAAAAGTTGGTTGTGACTTGTAATTTGTCTAATAAGTTGTCCGTGTCTTTCTGTGCAGTGAATCTCTCTTTTATTGGCTTGGTTTCTTAGCTTGCTCCTTTGTATTGTTTTCAGGTACAAGAAAATGGAGACTTGTATCACTCCATTTCCTAATGATGGTGCTGGCGATCGGCTGAAGCCATTCCCTGAGAGGCTGTATGCTGTACCTCCCAGGATAGCTAGTGGATCTGTTTCTGGAATATCAGTTGATGATTATTTGAAGGACAATAGTCAGTGGAAGAAGCATGTAAAGGCTTACAAAAGAATCAATAGCCTACTTGATACTGGAAGATACCGCAACATAATGGATATGAATGCTGGGTTAGGAGGTTTTGCTGCTGCAATCCATTCTTCCAAATTGTGGGTTATGAATGTCATGCCGACTATAGCTGAAAAGAATACCTTAGGCGTTGTATATGAACGAGGACTAGTTGGCATCTATCATGACTGGTTAGTGATGATTTCCAGCTTTTTAACATGCAGAGTTTCTTTCTCGACTTTGCTATCTACGGTGAATATGTCAGAATAGTTTTTGCTGGTATATTCTAGGTATCTATTGACATGAAACCTTTTTGTTGCAGGTGTGAGGGTTTCTCTACATACCCGAGAACATATGACTTGATTCATGCCAATGGCGTTTTCAGTCTATACAAAAACAAGTAAGTCTTTTCAATTTTCAACATCGCCATTGGATTTGAAGCCACTAATATTACTATCTCCTCTTGTGTGAACGTTGAAATAATGATTCCTGAATTCCTGACCACATTTCTTTTCTTTCAAATACTACTTATGTATGTAATCATTCTACTATGTCTAAAAATGTTGGATATCATCTTAGACTCGTAGTATTCCCTATCAAACATGTGGAGTTGCAATTTTATGTGGTACCCTATGGTTTACTATTTACAAATGTCTTTTGATGAATTAGGGCCTGTTCACTTCAGCTTAATTTCAGTTCAGTTCAGTTCCTAATTTCCTTCTCTCATAAAATATTCAGTTCAGCTTAGCTCCAATCACTTCAGTTCAGCTCAACTCAGTTCAATAAATGTGAATAGGCTCTTACTCAGGAAAATGTACTTTTATATCCAACCCATTCAGTTAGTAGTATGTATTATATAAACAAAATTGCTGATTTGTTATTGGTGTGACCACTTCTTAGTTCTTACTTTGTCCGGGGGTGTAAGCTGTTTGTTATTATTATCCAATTTAGCTTAGCTTGAAGCACAGTGCAGTTACAAACTAACTTAAGCTGTCTGAAAGAGACTGAAAGATTAAAATTGTTACCAAGGCATTGTGGTCTATAGTTACTGGAAAGTCGTCGTCAACTTTGTCTTTATAATTCTGAAGATTTTCATCCGATGAATGCAGGTGCAACTTGGAAGACATACTTCTTGAGATGGACCGTATACTGCGTCCTGAAGGAGCAGTAATAATTCGGGATGAAGTGGACGTGTTGGTAAAGGTGAAAAAGATAGTAGCTGGGATGAGGTGGGACACGAGATTGGTGGATCACGAGGATGGTCCATTGGTTCCTGAGAAGATACTGGTTGCAGTTAAGCAGTACTGGACCGTTGATGGAGGTAATAGTACATCCACCCAATGATTATGCCAAAACAAAACTAGTGAGTCCCCATGCAATTCCCTCGGCATCTCATGATTCAAATCGGTTATGAACATTCTGAATTGAATATCACATTTGTGCTACTGGGTGTGTGCACTTCTTTTCATTGATTTGCTTCAGCAAATGTATTTTTCCAACGCCCTGCTAGATGCCCTGGTGTGTACGTCTGCTTCGATTTATGGTTTACCCTTCTTAGTAATTACTGTAGTTTCTAAGCAATAGCTGATTATAGTACCGTTTTGTTAGGAGAAAGAAAGTGGTTAATTAGTTTTGATTTATATGTGTCACATGTACTCTATACTCTTCATTTTTTGTTGAATCTGTACTAGCAACTTATTTATTGTCTTGTCAAAAGAGGGAAAAAAAAAAAATCTTTCTGAATTACTGCTGCTCATTTCTGTTTTAACGATATCCTTTCCAGTTTTCTTTAGGTCTCCCCTTTATTATTGTACACTAGAAATAGGACAAAAAAAAAATACAGTATGTAATAAAGGAAAGATAATTGGTTTACAGTTGAGGCTGTTCTACTTTGGATGGAGCAGCCCATTTGAGATATGCTGAACCTCAATGAGCCCTTACATGATGTACTGTCTCAATCAGTAAAATGTTGCTCCAACATCACAAAAAGCTTATAGCCTTATAGGTTATGTCAATTAGGTTCCTCTCCAATTCTTAATCTCTATTTCTCATCATCTAATAATACACATAAGCTAGCAAATCATAGACCTAGTAAAACTAACTCAAACCTAATTATTCAATCCAAAATACCAGACTAAAAACTCAAACTTTACTAGAAATCAATTGCTTAATTTGACCCAACCTGACTCAAATTGACCCAACCCGACTCAAATTGACCCAATAGAATCGAAAATGACCTGATTTGAACTTGAATTTGACCTAAACAAGTCATACATGAAAATAACCCAACCCAATATAACTTGATCCAGACAATCTGATTGTCACCTCAAATTGTTTTTTCAATTTTGCATATTTCCCCATTGTGTACATTGATTGTCACAAGAGAGTACTCCATACTCGATTTCAAAGATGTACTTGTCTAGCCAACACTCAAAGCGCCATCTTCATTGAGGCAGGTTAGGGTGCAATTTTAATGATGGACCAAGATGTGTAGTGCTTACTATGCACCCAAAGAACACAAGTACAATTGTAAAAGAACATGATATTATAATATAAGATCATTAACTATGTTTTAATATTTTAAGCTATAATATAATATTGTACAAACTATGAAGTAATAAATAAATGAATCTCCAACGTACCATTTTTTAATTATTATTTTTTTTATTTATCACAACGCTTTGTTCTTTACCATATGCACATGCACATATGTCGGCATGCAATGTGTTCCTTGCATGTACAATGAGTTCCTTGCATGTACAATGAGTATTGCACACTCTTGTCTATATAGTCTACTATTTGAGGGTGAGGGTTTGTTAGAGCAAGGGTTAACAACAAAATGCAACTTCTATAAATGAGAGCCACAAAATCAATTTTGGGACCTGAGGAAGCCAAAAAAGCCTTAAAAACTCTCCATACTCAATCAATCATTCATATTTCTACACTATCTTTTCCCCTTATTTCTCAAATTTACCCTAAAAAATGTAACATTACGCATTTAATGCCATGTTTTTCCTCTCCATTTCATTTCCTTTAACAAGCAAAAGTGGGGGAAGGCGGCCCTCCTTATCTTTAAATTATTTCTACCAATTATGTTAGTCCGTACTAATAGTTTTGTTCGATTGTTCCTTTATTAGTGACAAAAATACCCACTAATATGCTTTACCATATATTATATGGTTTTCTCCACTTATATATGGTCAAAAAAAATATATGCTTGTTGTGTGTTTCTTTTGGAGAGAATAGCAACAAGATTGCTCGCATTCTTTTTGTCATTTCTGTTGCCACATAGTGGCATAAATACATTATCATGTGAAGTTTCTTAATATAGTCATATACGTACAAATTTGTTTCAACAATTGACATGTTTCAACTATTGACAAATGTGGGATGTTTTCTTTACCAATTATATTACGAAAGATGTTGTTAAAAAGTTAAAATGAATGTACTATGATACCTGTATTGAAGAGGTGATTTAGGGCCTATTCTCATACGTTTATTTTCAATTCAATTCAGTTCAGTTTAGTTCAGCTCCTAATTTCCTTTTCTTATAAAATATTCAATTCAGTTCAGTCTATGAGAACATGCTCTTAGTTTATGTTCATAAAAGTAGTGTAAGTAATTTAAACATCTCTCTCTAGAAGAGAATTAGTCAAATATAAAGCACAAGTACAATCAGCTAATTTAAGCAAACAAGTCAAGTAACTATAATCGTGAAACTACTTCTTGTTAGTCATAATTCAAGAAAACAACTAAGGGCTTGTTCTCATACGTTTATTTTCAGTTCAGTTCAGTTCAGCTCCTAATTTCCTTCTCTTATAAAATATTCATTTCATTTCAGTTCAGTTCAGTTAGCTCAGTTTAGTTCAGTTCAGTTCAGCTGAGTTTAGTGTATGAGAACAGACCCTAATACCAATAATCAATATTGAATAAGGTCTTACCTAGTAACCCTATATCCGGAATAATAACAATAATGATCTCTTACCAAATACAAATTTTATAGTACACTCGAGTGTGCTTAAAATAGATGCATTTAAACATTACAAAATAAGCAAGATATGCCTTTAGGTGTACAAATTCAATTCTAGCTTCAAATCAACACCCACCATTACAAATGAAAATTTAATTCAATTCTATCTTGGTAGGGTTTACAAAAGCAATTTTATAATGAAGTAAAAGCACTAATAATGTGGTTCATGGAATTTTTGTTAGGATTGGATAGTATTTAAAGTAGAGGACTGAATCTTGAATTTTGCTGATGTTTGTTTCACTAAGAAACAAATACTAGAATTCCTTGGACAATACAAGAACCTGCAATTTCTTCTAAGAATAATGACCATAACCCAGACCCACGTATCACGGGCAAGCATAATAGTATGAATTATATTTTGAAAAGAGGAATAATGATTTCAAAAATAGGAGAAACAGGGAAATTGCATGGCTAGAATTTCATTAATCCATTTGTTTATCAAATTTCTCAATTATTATTTGAATTTGGAATCATCTTAGATTAGATGATGACACGAGGTAATATAGACAGAAACGATAGACCATCATAAACGAACTCTTCATTATATTAGCAATGTTATTAAAGTTTCTTGACATTGTCACAAGTACTTCTTATGCTTGCAATATTACATATTCCGTATTTATATAGAAATTCATTACCATTATTAATTATCATTGAATACCAAATAGGCAAATAACATCGATAATATAATAATTTTAATTGTATTTTTATTGTCGTATGTCTCTCTTATATAACCAATAATATAATTTTGTTTAGCTATACATTTTTTTTTTAATAAAAATGCAAGTAAACAAGTATAGAGAAGTATGTAACGAACATACAACAAGCTTTATAAACGTTGGTCATCGAAGCTAAAGTGTAATTGAGGGACCATATTATATATGTAATCGCATTAAACAGGATCTTTTTGTTCTATTAGTTGTGCATGTCATAAGATCATGTCAATGATAATAACATCAAATATTAATATAAATTGATCAAGTGTAATTTTTATTCTCATGATAAGGTGTTGTCATTTTCATGCATGGTAAAAAAGAGCAACATATCACAATCAAACTATTTAAAGCGCAAGGCCAACGTCAAAGCTTTCAATAACTTAAATGTTTCTTGAATTTTTGTAAACACATCCAACTGTCATGATGCAAATCACAACAATTCAACTTTATACTCTCTCTCTCTCTCATTTTCTAGCTCTATAATGTGAGTAATGTAACACCACATGTACCTTCAATTTTCACTTATTTTGGTGTTTCAAAGATGGTCTAAAATGTAGATAACATCTCCTTTTTCTTGATGCGTATTTTGAAGCGCGGCAAAACTTACCTCAAGAAAAAATAGTCGAAGTGAATTATTATTATGATTTAAAGTGATTAATGTCTCTAAAAAGACAAAAGAATCTCGTGTATATAAAAACCTGACCTGATTTGGTCATTGAACTTGAATCATAAAACTTAACATTTGAATGTGACTCAATTAAACGCAAGCAATCCAAATGAATAATTTTCAAGAGAATAGTAGCATTTTCATATTTTAAGTGAAAATATTAAATTAGACATCTTATACTTCTATAGGCTCAATTGCCCCCCAACAAAAACAGCTTACTTGAAAAACTTGGATGAAATTGACTATACGCTTTGTTTGTGTCTAACTGTCAAGTGTCTTATCTCCATGCACAAATTGTTGAAGCCAATTCATTGAATTTAATTTCAAAGTGTTTTTTTCAACCATCTAATTCAGGCTTTTATTGATTCAACTTATTTTATTAATTAATTAGACTAAAAGAAAAACTTTTTTTTTTGTGTGAACTTGTTAAGTCGTTTAAAATTATCCTAAAACTTATATTGTCTAAACTTATTACTATATTTTTTTTTACATGTATGAAATAAGTCAAATTAAGTTGAACAAAATGAGGCCTTAACATTATTTCGGTGATACTTTGCTACTTTCTTGTACCTTTTACTCTCTAGACATTTTAAAGGTATAGTCATTTTCGACCTTCTTGTAGCCATCAGCCTGCTACAATTTGATACGAGTATGTTTTATATCCCTTTATATAATTAAACTCTCTTCATTGTTGAGTCATTATCTCCCAACTTAAAGTTCTCTTCTTTACCTCAATCTACTACTAATCCTAATACTACACCCTGATCTTGCTGATACTCCATTTATGGCCTCACTATCTCCCACCAGCACCCGCCTAAGCCTACCGCCTTCTTGGTCCTCGGAAAGCAACAATAGTAGCCTTCGTGAAGCCTCTTTTTCTTCCTATCTCAACAGCTCCGAGGAAACGTACATCCGTAGCCTCATTGAGTCCAGCCAAAACCAACTACTGTCAAAGCCTCTGCAGCAGCAGCAGCAGCAGCAGCATGATCATCTGCATAACTCGAGGCAGAAGAAGGCCGAGGATAAAGAAATCGACGTCTTCAGTGCTGATAAGTACTTCAGCAGTGAAATAATAGATCAGGAGCGTAGTAACTCAGCAAGGTCTAAAAGTGCAAGATTTCAACTGTCAGAAGAACTACATAATCATGAAGAACGTCCTGAAGGACCTGAACATCAGATTGTCAGAGTTAACTCAAATAAGCTGAAATCTCAGTTTCGAACTCCTAGCAGTCAGTCAGAACTCAGCTCGAATAGCCAGAGCGCATTATTGAGGCGTCTGCATAGGACTCCGTCTAGGAGTACTAATAATGGCAAGACTATGTCATTACTGTCCTGCTCTTGCTGTGTTAATAGGA